GCTCCGGCGGGCCAGGCTGGGCGGGGCGGCCGCAGCCTGCTCCGGCGCCCAGAGCTGCAGCTGCTTCGGAGGCTGGGGGGAGAGCACCGTGGCCAGAAGCAGAGAGACTCTGGCCCCGCCTCTTCCCTTCTGGCTGTGCTGCCTCTCCTTGCTCCCTCTGTTGGGGGGAGGGACTGTCCCCCACCTCTCCCTCTCCATACACATTCATAAGCCAACCCCCTTCTCTGGTGCTTCCCTTTTTTACTAAAAAAATTTGGCTTGAACAAGTATATATGGTAACTTCTTTATTCTGTTTTTAGATTAAACAAATTTTAGTAATTGGTTTAAAAGAAAACATTTTTTGCTCAATATTATTCAAAATTCATAGGATACAAATTCACTTTAAATAAAAATGAATACAGAAAAGTCTGTTAATCAAGCTAATTGTGCACGTATACTTGTTGAAGTGCCCCAGTTACACTGTCATGGAACACTAGTATTGCAGTGGTCAGGCAAGATGCACTTTTCCCATGAACATAGGTATGCATACCTATTGTGCTGCCATAAGAGACCATTGTGACTTGCTATCTCATAATAGCTCACCTGGAGAGGCTGGAATAGGAAATATAAATATGGTGCTGTCACTAAGGAATAACTCTGCAGTGCCCATAATACTGGCAGATACCGCATTAGATGCATAAAATAATGAAAATACTCTTTGTGAAAGACTCCATCAATTAATGGGTCAGTCTCTAATTAGAAAAGACTGTTACAATAAAAAGTTTGAATATCTTAAAGATTTCTGACTAAATTGGGTCCTCCATTTTAAATTGGTTGATAATTAAATGGATCCAGAGTGTGCATATGTTTAAGAGCAAAGTTCTAAGTTTAATTTTAAGTAATTATGGAAATAAAGTTAATGCAACAAATATTCAGGAACTTGATAAATAAACTTAGTGTCCTGTTATAATAAACATAGGGTGACCATATTTCCCTATACTGAATACAGGACACCTGGTAAAACTACTCATATTCAAGCAAGTTCAACAGCAATCAGTCAGAACTATGCAGTACAAACGTTCAAATTAACATAGTTGACTGAGCCCCTGTTAAAAAGAAAAACTGCGTAGATAGATTCTTTTTATTTACCTTCTTATCTTTAAGGCTTAGGGTTCACATGGGGAGAGGTGACACACACACTGCGGTATACCTTTCTGACACGAGGGTGACACACTGACCCGACGCTCCCTGTCCGGCACTCTTCACCCTCCGTGCCTGGCTGGGCCCCCAGGACCTAACTCTCTTGGTACCAGGTGCCGCATCTTCCCAAGGCAACACATGGGGGAGGGCATGCAGGGTCACATGCCCCCTTCTCCCCCCCAGGAATTTCTGCCAGGGTTCACACCAGAACATGGCCAGCAGCAACTTTTTGGCACTGTGTGGGAGGGAAGGGCCGGGAGCTGCTTCCAGCCATGCCAGGGGATGGCCTGGCTCTCCGTCTGTGCCCTCCCCCCCACCCCGGCTTCCCTATGGCTGGAAGCAGCTTGTCCCTTCCTGCCTGCACAGTGTAGAAAGGCAGCTAACATATCCAGGCTGCTGCTGGCCACCAACGTAACCCAGCTTCCCCGTCCCCCATCTACAGCGCGAGCAGGAAGGTGTTAAACCCTAAGGATGTGCATTGTGCACCAGGGCCCAGAGAACCTGATTGCAGGGGCTTCAGTGAACCCAGCAGGAGAGGTGGCTCAGCAGTGGGAGTAGCCCCGTGCTCCCTGGGAGCAGGACCCAGGTCAGGGAGGCAGGCGGGGGCAGGCAAAGAGGGTGCTAAGCCCTTGCCAGGGAGCCTGCTGTGGCGCCTGCAGTGTAGGGGCGTGAGCAGGCTCAAAATCACTCCCCCCGCTACCCCCCCGCCACTCCAGAGCTTAGGTGAGGGGCGGAGAGGCTTCCCTGTGCCAGTGCTGTGCGGGGCTATGGCATATGCAGGGCTTGGCTCCTCCTGGCCAGTGCCCCAGAAAAAGTAGGGACACCTGCAGGAGGGCTTTAAAAACGGGACATCTGGTCACCTTAAATAAACAGATTCTATAAACCAGGACCTCAGAACTGTTAGATAATGTGAATAGCCTAATTTAACTTTTACTTTCATACTAAAAATATGTTAATCACTATACAAGGAGTTTGTTTGAAAGAGGTACAGTCCAAACCCTGGTGGAATGAAGTAGTCAATAATATAAGGTTGTTTCAACATGAAAAATATAGAAGCTGATTCATATAATGTAAACTAGCTGATATGTGTGCTACATAAAACTAAAAGCATATGTATTTAGGAAAACTGACTTTTGCTCACTCCTGATACTGATGTCTGAAGGCTTGAAATATAAGCAGTTATTACTATAAATGAATTATGTTGAGCCTACCTTTTATTGTTAAACATATCTCTTAATTTTTGTGGTTTTTTAATTGGTGCTGCTAAGTTGCCAACATCGTAAATCACCCTTTTTAGAGCAAAACACCACAATCAGCAATGGGTTCAGAAATACTACTTGAATTTGAAAATATTATTCATAGTGGCAAATACTCCTTGACTTCAGAAATTTGACTGCTGCATAGAGCAAAAGAAATTGAAGAATGTTTGTTAGTAAATAATAATAAACCATTCTTCAGTTTTTAAAAAAATATATGTATTGCGTTCAAATTACTGTAACAATGTATTTTTTGGAAGTAGAAATAGGAGCTGATAAGCCCTTGTACTTTCTAAAATGCTACGGCTTCCTCTTACTGTCCACACTCAGCATATACATGTACATCATTCATAGAAATTACTCATTTGTTTTCTGGTAGTGTGCATATTAGATAAGTTTTATGTATATATTGGAGGGAATTATAAGAAGATAGTGATAGCAAAATCAGCAGCAGTTGCTTGGGCCTTGCAATCACTCCTCCTTTTAATGTCCCTTCTCCCCCATATCCACTCCACTCTCTTCCAGTGAGTAGATGGCTTCTTAGATGCTGCTGCACTCATCGTCTCATCAGTCAACCAGCACCTGACTACATTTGAAGTGCTTCTCTAGAGCATAATGTAGTGAAGGGAAAGTCAAGGAGGGACTAAACTGGCCCCTCTTGGCAGGACCCCCCTGGGATGTAGCAGCAGCTCCAACCAGCAGCCTCCCACCCCTTCACCATATACACTCTTGTCTGTTCAGCTGTTCCCACTGTATCCTCAATAATATGTGTGCGATTATAATGAGATTTGATACTTCTAATTTAATGGTTTCTTCTCTCAATCCAGATACAATTGAAAAAGAGATAAGAAAAATCTTCAATATTCCAAATGAAAAAGAGACCAGATTGTGGAACAAATACATGAGTAATACATTTGAACCACTGAATAAACCAGACAGTACCATACAGGATGCTGGTTTATACCAGGGACAGGTATTGTATACTACAATTTTGGTTTTCCTACGTATACATTTTTTCTTAAATTTAATAAATTTCCCCATTGAAAACTTGGATTGCTGACAATTATTCCTGTGATCAATAGATCTTCCCCTTTTTTAAAGGTAGTGATATTTGCCTTCTTCCCTCCCCACACACAAAGAATTCATGTTCAAAATATAGTGCTTGACTAACCAGATTTTTTTAAAAATCCCCTAGTATGTGGGGGTTCTGCAGAAATTAAGCTTTTTCTTTAAACAAGTGTTTTTAACTCTTATGCAGAGATGACTTTCCAGTTGTGAACTAAATGTAATCTGATGCAGTGCTGTCAACTTGAAGCAGCAAACACAGCCTGAAATACATTAGAAGTTCCTAAGGTCCAAATCTTGGTCCCAGCATGCAACCTTTGCTCTGGAGAGCACCTCAGATGCTAGTAGGGGGAATGAACCCTACTATCTCTAGTTCTGGTGTACACTCTTCAAAAAGAATGTTGGAAAAATTGGAAATGATTTAGAAAAGAGCTGCAAGTATGATTCAAGCGTGGAAAATCTATTTTACAGTGAGAGACTTAAAATCAGTGTATTTAGTTTAACAATGAGAAGGTTAAAAGGTGACTGGATCATGAACTAAAGTACCTACATGGGGATATTTCTGACTGTAGAAGCCTCTTTAATCTTGTACACAAGTTTTATAACAAGTTCAAATGGCTGGAAGTTAAAGATGTACAAATTTGGGTCAGAAATAAGGCGCATATTTTTATATGCGAGAGTAACTAATCGTTGAAACAACTCCACAAGGAATGTGGTGCATTCTCCATCACTTGACGTCTTAAATCAAGATTGTACATATTTCTAAAAGAGATTCTGTAGCTCAGTTAGAAATGTTATGGGCTTGATCTAGGAATTACTGAATTAAATTTTATAGGGGCTCATGATCATAATGATCCCTTCTGTCCTTAAAACCCTTGAATCTACCTCAGGCTATTTAGCAATAGTGCAGCTTTGTAGCTGCTACTCTAGCTTCAGGGTTTAAGTAGCTTTCACCACTCTTAAAATGTGGCTCTTAAAATATGGCTGGTGAATCCAAATAACAGCTGATTGTTTGTTGTTGTCTTGCTCCCTCTTCCAACTTCCTGCTTCCCAGAAGCACTCTGTGTACCTACCAGAGTTGAGTTTCATTGTGTGAAGGGGAGCCAGATATGAACTTGTACAATTCATGCGTCTTTCCCAATTCAGCATAGGCACATTGAACCACACTGGTTCCAGCTACAGGACTTCCCTCTGCAGTCACAAAGGATTCACCTTTGAGGTGTGAGCTGCAAGCTGCCTCTCTTTATTTCAGTAGGACATTGTCCAAAGTGTCTGGCCTGTTATTCACTAGAAAAAAGAACCATTACTGACATATGGTGCTGTGCACTGTTTAGCTGCAAGTGTAGTTGGATAGTGTTCAGTAGTGGATTTTAACTCTAGTTTCTGAAACTGTGCTAGATGTATCTGCCTATGCTTGCTGCTGAACCATGTTAATCACTGGGTGAACAGTCCCCACATTAACACATTAAATCTTTAGTTTTCCTGTTAAAACTGCTATCTTGGAATTTCCGGGAGATTTCAATTACCGCCTCCCTCTCATCCCAAACTTGTGGAGGGGCTGGGGAGTGAGTAGATAATATTCTGATTTGATGAATTGGTTCTGAAGGTGAGACATTATTTTTTATTCCCTTAAAAAAATCAGTTTCCACCTGAACCCTATGTGTATGTCTATACTGCAATGTAAGCCCCAGCATTAGCCAAACTCTAGTTAACTGATCCTGGGTTTGTTAAACTAGGGCTTGAGCATCTCATTTCTAACCCTAGGTTAGCAATTGACATACCCTGGGTCCCAACCTGGAACTACAGCTTCTACATTGCATTATGTGGGCCTGAGTCCAACCACCCATATCTCAGACTTCCTAGTGGCCAAAGTGTGGCCACTCCAGCCCTTTGTTTGTGGTGTACTGGGGGAAAACTTGACTATGCAGAGGACAAAGAAAGTTGGATTGTGGGATATATTGGGGGATTTCCAGAGTAGAAGTCCAGCAGGGATGTGTCTACACTGCAAAGCAATAAGGTTTGAAGCCTAATCTGGGCATGACTCAGGCTAAGACCCACCACCTCCGTGGGTCTGAGCTTTGGATTACCATGATTGGTGTGTAGACGGAAGGGAGGTTAGGCTTCAGCCCAAATTCAAACCCTGGGTTTACATTGCAGTATAGATATTCACCCTGTCTCATAGGGTTTTTTTTTTCTTACTGCTTTATTTTCGTAGCTTCTGAGAGCTAGTGGTAGAGTAATATTGGCAAAATCCGAAGGTTATCTTATTGAAGCCTTTATCCAAAGATAAATCTCAGGATTTGCTAGAATGAAGCTAGTCCTCAGAACACTGCCTTATTTTGTTTTTTGGCTCTTCTGTCTTTTCTCCCATTCTTTTCCCCCTCCCCCTGGAAAAAAAAACTCTCCAAGAATTTTCAGTTTCTGTATGTGCAAATTTAAAACATGGTTTAGAACAGGAAATTATTAATAAGTTATTTAAAAATTGATTATATGTTATGTGTAATCATACAGTTTCACCTCAGTGTATATGTGTAAAACTTCCTGCAGCCACTTCTCTGGTGAAGTGCGGTAGCTATTTAACAATGCCAAGAAACACTAACCTATTTCAGTTAGGAATTGAATAATTCTGTCCATCTGAAACTGATCCATATTTTCATTCATACCAATAACAATTTGAATAAAAACTGTCATTAGCTGATAGTGTGTGTGTTTCTCTCACACATACGCCTCCATAGAGAAACGGAGTTAGTCAAGAGACTTAAAGATCAGTTGAACTAATGGATGTGGTCTAAACCATGTCAATGCAGCAAAAAGAAAAACTATTGTCTATAATTGTCCTCTCTGCAAGGTTAAATGCTTCTTAAAAGAACTATTCTACAATACAGACACGTCGATTTTACATAGGCCCATTAGACTCAGATGCCTCTTATCAGTAATTAAACAAAGAATTAGAATGAATATGAGATTTCATTCAAGAATCCTAAAAGTATATAGGATAAACTAAACCAGAGATTGAGGCGGCAAACTATATATATGCTTTTGATACTTATATGTAAGGTTAAGGTTTTGTCATGGTTATTTTTAGTAAAAGTCAGGGACAGGTCACAAGCAATCAACAAAAATTAATGGAAGCCCATGACCTGTCCCTGACTTTCACGAAAAATAACTGTGATAAAATGGGGTTGGGGGGGTGGGAGGGAATAAGAGCCGAAGCCCTGCTGTGGGATGGGGGAAGTGGGTCCAGCATCCGCTGCAGCTGACCGCTCCGGGGTCCTTCCACTGCCCATGGCAGTTAGGAGCTGCAGGGGAGCCCCTGTTGGCTGACAGCTCCAGCCCCACTGCCCCAGGGCTGAAGTGGAAAATGTCACAGAGGTCTCTGGAAGTCACGGAATCCGTCACCTACATGACATAATCATAGCCTTACTTATATGTAGTATCCTCACTTTGTCGAATGTATTTGTCATCACAATATCCCTGTGAGGTTTTGAGATGCTGTTATCCCCATTTTATAGATGGGGTACTTCCTCTTTTGACAAGAGAGGTGATTAGCAATGTTCAAATTATCAAGTCCAGATTAGTGAACCAGTGCATAGCTTCAGAAGTGATGGGGCACTAAGAGATTAAGTGCCTTGCCCAAAGTTACATAGGAAGTCTGTGGAAGAATAGAACCTGGGATTCCTAAATCCCAGACTGGTACCCTAATCATTCTTCATCTCGGTCCTTCAGTCACCAAATCAACAAGCCCATTGAAAGGTGCAGTAGCTTGGAATCATCTCAGCTAAGGGAAATCTGTTGCTATATTATAGTTTTTCTCTTTATTCTTACTTTTTCTGATAGGTACTAGTGATAGAACAAAAAAATGAAGATGGAACATGGCCACGAGGTCCTTCGACTCCTAAGTATGTGATAAAACAAATTGCTGCTTGCTACCGTGTGGTTTAATTTCTCTGTGTATTTTATCAAATCTCTTTTTGGTTTTAAGAAAAAGTTAGTTTTTGAAGGCGGTATTTTTTTTTTAAAGTTCTGTTAGTGTGCTAAATATCTATTAATATAACATATACACTACTGTGCACTTATAAAATGTTCTACAGAAACTGATGTGTAACTGATGTTTTCATATGTAGCACAATTTTGTTTACTTCGAATTGTGATTTACTTAATTGTGTGGTTTATATTATAGAAAATTCTTGCATTTAAGAGTGGTGTAAAACTTGTATTATTTTAGACTTGTGTTCCATTCTTGAAGCACAGAATTTCTAGTACGAGAATCTATGTAAATGTCGGTTGTATCAATATTTTTCTTACATGAAGGATGGAAATCCTCTGTCTACAAAGAACTTCATATTATGTGAAGAACGGTCTTGTGAAGTACTTCCCACATTTTTTTTTCTCAGAGAGTATAATATTAGTTTTTTTCCATTATCAACCATAGCTTGGCGATGGCAAGCAAGTAGATCTTGTGTCTTGATTGGGAAATTGTCACGTCCGTTTTGCAAGGCTGGCATATGATAACATGATTAACACAGGATTGAGAGATTTTGGTTTACCTGCTATGTGTTACTTGTGTACAATAGTCCTTTCTAGAGGCATGTTGGCAAAATTTTATCTTAAAATATCCTTTCTAGACAGCTGATATTCTAAATCTGAGATTAAAACTGCATATTGTTACATGTGTTCCAATCTCAGAGTGCGTGTGGTAGAACACTGCAGTACAGTACATTCTGTGTTCTGTATTTATCTACGTGAGCTAGGGTAGTTCACTATTTTGTGTTTGATAGTGCATTTAAGGTGACTTTTTTATTGTGTAGAATTTTTTTTACAATAGACTTCTTTCTAGAACTAGCTGAAAATTTTCCGATTGAGTAGTTTTTCTATCAGAAAATGTGGATTTGACACAGTTGAAATACTTCTGAGGAATATATTGATTTTCGTCAAAAATTTCACCAAAATTATTGAAGTACTTTGTTTTGACTTTATCATTTTGACTTTTATATAAATGTAATTTATAATCAAAACAAAGCGATTTGTCTTTGTTGGAAATTAAACATTTTGACTTTTCATTCTGATTTGGGATAAAAGGAAATTTTGTAATGTCCGTTTCTCATGGAATGGAAATTCCAAATTTTGTCCAGCTCTACTTACTTTCTTATTTTAGAATACCAGCTCTATTTTGTCTGATACATCATCAAATTCTTCAGTATGTGATATGCTACCATAACATATCTGTAACTGACCAGCAAGTTATCTGGCTCCAATATCTGGGACAGATAAGGGGGTGAAAACAAAAGGAATGTAGAAGGCACTTCTGCCTATGATGCTCTCATCAGGATTCAGGAAATTCCAGATTTCATCTCCAACAGCACTCTAATTTGGTAACAACTTCATGGCACTCTTCTTGTGTTAAATCTGTAGGGAAATGAGAATATGGTATATTTTGGCTTCAGCCTCAAAATCTTCAAGCAAAAAAAAAAAAAGCCTTTGGTCCAAACCAAAGAAGTAGGCCATATACACCTCTACCCCGATAAAACGCTGTCCTCGGGAGCCAAAAAATCTTACCGCGTTTAGGTGAAACCGCGTTATATCGAACTTGCTTTGATCCACCGGAGTACACAGCCCCGTCCCCCCGGAGCACTGCTTTACCACGTTATATCCGAATTCGTGTTATATCGGGTCGCGTTATATCGGGGTAGAGGTGTATTGTATTAATGCATTAACACAAGTAATGTATTAGCTTCTAATGCAGTGGTCTCCAACCTTTTTATGCCCAAGACCACTTTTTGAATCTAAGGGCAACTCAGGATCTACCCCGCCCCTTCTCCAAAGCCCTGCCCCGCTCACTCCAGTCTCCTCCCCGCCCCCGTCACTCACTCTCCTCCACCCTCACTCACTTTCACCCAGCTGGGACAGGGGGTTAGGGTTCAGGAAGGGGTACGGGCTCTGGGCTGGGGCCAAGGAGTTCACAGTGTGAGGGGGGGGCGCTGGGCTGAACCTGGGGCAGGGGGTTGGGGTGCAGGAGGGGGTGAGGGGTGCAAGCTCTAGGAGGGAGTTTGGGTGCAGGAGGGGGCTGTGGGCTGGGGCAGAATGTTGGGATGCAGGAGGGGGCGTGGGGTGCTGGCTCTGGGAGGGGGTGCAGAAGGGGTTATGGGGTGCTGGCTCCGGGAGGGGGCTTAGGGTGGGGCACGGCCTCCCGCCAGGCAGCACTTACCTCCGGTGGCTCCCGGTTGGCAGCAGGCACAGCGAGGCTAAGGCAGGCTCCCTGCCTACCCCGCCCCCACACCACTCCCAGAAGAGACCAATGCGCCCCTGCAGCCCCTGGGGTGGGGAGGGCGGGGGGCACGTGGCTCCACCACTGCCCCTCTCTGCAAGCACCGCCCCCGCAGCTTTCCTGGCCAATGCGAGCTGCAAGAATGGTGCTTGCAGGCAGGAGCAGCACGTGTGGCGGGAGACCCCCGGGGCCGCGAGGCTGTAGTGACCGCTTCCAGGAGCAGTGTGGGACCGGGGTAGCCTTAGCAGCAGCCACACTACACTGCCACCGGAGATCACAATCGACTGGTCGATCCTCTAGGATCGACCAGTTGATGCGATTGACCGGTTGGTGACCGCTCTTCTAATACATTGAAATCTCATTTTCATTTGTGAAATAACATAGGTATGCTAAGGATCTTAGTTTGTGGTAGGTTTTTTTCCACATTACAATTTAGCAAAGTACAGTGCATTGGTGGTGATTGTTCTAGATGCTTCACATCTGGAAAGTAGGAGTGTTGCAGTTTAAGATTGTGGTGGAGTTGTAAAGATATTGGAAAACTTGAATCTTGTCTTCCTTTACTATGCTGGACTCCAGCCAGTTTTATTCCATCACGTTCATTAGCCTCCCTTTCAATCTCTTGATGTATAGGAAATGTCCTACAGTAGAACTGCAAATAGAGAATCATTTTTTCTTTACCTTAACAATTGGTTCTTAGGTGTGTCTTCCAGGAAAGATGCTTTTTGAGTTCCTTATGTTTGCTTTGATATTCTAAGTTCATGTTTATATATAAATCCAATCTTGCTTAAGAAAATGTATGGGGGACTTTTTATGTAATATCATAGCTTTATCTTCTCTTTTCATTTGAAAGACTTAAGAGATTCTTCCACATTTTGGTTTCTTATCCAGCTGCCCTTTTATAGGAGTTTGTTTAAATCTGCCCTGTTAAATTTAATTGTGTATCAGAAAGGCTTGAAAAATGTACATGTTCACCAATGGCAAGTAGGAAACGAGGCACTCCTACCATGGTAATGAACATAGTGTAAAGGCCTACTGGCTGCAGAATATTATAAGAGGTTTTTGTTGGTTTAAATATTGCTTATTGGTGTTCTAAACAGATGTAGTGGAACTGAACTGAATTTATTAAACTTTCCCACTGAACAGCAGCTTCAGGATGGTAGTACAGCGGGAACGGGGAAGAGAGCACAATTACCTTTTCTGTTACCCACGACTTCTCCTCCCAGTTTGGTACTCTGCCTCCCTCTAGTGATGGCTAGACCACATGTAGAGGTAGATGAGCCTGTTAAAGCCTTGAGTACACCCTTCAGAAATCAGAGAAGAGAGGGAAATAGATGACCCCTCACAACAATATGTAGGGATTAAGGAGGGAAATAATCTCTTTTCTTCCCTGTCTCCATCTTCTCTAGCAACAGCTGAGTTTTATGTAAGAGGAAAAGGAAAGGCACCCTCTTTGCAGCAGCCAGGAGGCAAGGAATATTTTTATTTCTCAACTATGTAAAAGCAAGGCTGATGTGAAAGATGAAGCTCCTAAGCAGGCTTCAGGGGCAGCTCCCTGGTAAAAATCCCAGCAATAGGGGAAGAGGGAGTACTGAATTTCATACTTAAGTGCTGCCCCTTGACCTCACCAGAGAGGACAGCGAGCAACTGGCTGATAGGTGTATATACCCAGACAAAATCTGTGTGTGTGTTTGCATTGGCTAAAATGTATAAATAAGTAACTTGTGAACAAGCATAAAAATAAAGCTGTTTTTGGCTCCATTTAATTTATCTGTACAGAAAGCAGATGACAAAAATTTAAAGCCAATTCTTTAAATCCCATCTGAGAGGTGGGGAAGTAAAAACTACTCAATTCCCTTCCTTAAGGAACAGAGAAATGGGAGGTGGAGGTGGAGGCAGTGGGGATGGTGAACACCCCAACACTTCTTTAGAGATACTGCCTTGCCACAATTTCACATCCCTTAGATATAAAGATTGGGTAAAATTTCATAAGTATATTGGAATGTCAGTGTGACTTACTTGCCTAAATCACCTAGGTTCTTTTGAAATTTTAAGCCCTTAGTTCTAAAGTGTGTCTAGAAATATTCTCCACCATGGCATCCAGACCTGATTCTGCTATTTTTTTTCACCCTATTCCCGGGGGGGGCGTAGGACGGGCGTTAAAAGCAGTTTCTGAATCCAGAGTTTCTCTGGTGTACAGCCAACCATTTTTCCATAATAGAATATTTAAACTAGAATTCCACGATTAGGCGGTTTGCTCTGAATCCAGCAAATAAGGATACATTTCTTTGCTGTAAGAAAACTCAAGTTGAGATCTGTCTTGAGGATATGACAGCTTTCAAAAACCATTGGATAATAGAAGCAACAAAAGGACAGAACTATCAGTAATGGGTTCTGTTTTCCAGGTGTCTTACGTTAAACATTTCTGAAACAGATAATTCTTAGGGTGGTAGAAATATAAAGCCTATTTTATTTTGCAGTGAGACTCTGATTTTACTTTCATCAAAAACATTTTATTTTCTATTATATTCCATTTGTCATGACTGATGACACATCCACAGAGACTTTTTTTCTTCTCCCCTACCATGGTCTCATCTTTGATGCAAGCCTTACATAGCACATTAGTCCCCTGTTGAA